AGTATTAGTGATTAAGGGCTGACTGCTGCAGCTCGCTCCTCCCTGACCCTGGTTTTAGGGACTGTGCTGGACACAGTATATGAATGCAATGCAAGTTGACTGTTTCTCTATAAGATTTAGCTTGTGGCTTCCGCTAATTAATTTTCTGTGTAATTTTAGGAAATCTGTTCAGAACCTGACAGTATTCCTAGAATAGTTCTAATAAACACTGTTCTGCCAATGCGTTGTTTCATGGACCTTACAGCGGGTGGTTGCTAATACTTGTCTCCTTTGTCAGCATAGCTGTGCTATTTATGTGATGTTTTTTGTTCAGATCTGTGGTAGGTGTTTTCAGAATGTTTGTATTAAGCATCCTGAAAAATCTGGTAGTTCTGAACAGTCTCACAAACAGTCATGGATGTCTTAATACACAAAGTAAATTTTTCCTGTTGATGGCAGCTGTTAGCAAACATGGCATTTTACTAGGTAAATTACAATCAGACAAACAGAAATGAAGTGCCATCCTCTTTAGAAGTGCTCAGGGTCCAATTATCCTGAAGCAAGATGAAGCTGTACTCAGGGGCAATTTTAAGGTCGATGAAGTACTGTTGGCAGCTGGATTGGTCAATGTGACTGTGAAATGAGACAAAAAAATATACAAGGATGGTGGTTTTTTTCATGTTTCAGAAAATGAGTACATTGAAAGGCTGTCCTTACAAATTTTAATCTTTGACAAATATTGGACTTAAAATTACTTAAATATGGTGAGAGAGTGGTTTAAAAACAAAAAACGAAACCTGAATTTGCGAAACTGTGTTTATGTTGCGTAAATTACACATTTCTAGTCATTTTGAATAAATAACTTGGCTGGTATTTATAAAATTTTGAGCACAGTGTGATAACTTAGGTTGGAGATGAGAATGATACTTGCCAAAGAGCTGGATTTAAGGTAATATAAATGTGATTACTTAACTCTAAAGATCTCCAGCCTTCCTTTCTTCATTGGCACTGGAGAGGTCAGGAGTTTACCATTTGGACACATGTTTTTTGCATTAGTATAGTTAGGAAATTCCATTTCTATTTCAAAGAATTATGTCCAGTTACATAATTTCCATTCCCTCTGCATAAAAACTGGTAATCCAAAACTGGAAACTGTATTTTTCAATGTATTGTGAAACTTTCAGAACAGTCAGATGAGGACAGTGAGAGCACTTAAGCTTTATACATATGGTTATATTTGCTGTTAGTACTCTGGATAGCATGCTTTAATTTTGCTGTGTAATGCTTGCCAAGACTCTGAGACATAATGCAAACTGAATGGGCAATACAATGGGGAAGGAATTCAGGGTTGAGCAGTCCAAGGGGAATGTACTGGGGGAAAAAAAAAAAAAAAAGCAAAAAACAATGCACATAGATAATGCTGCTATGTCTAATCTGGTGTCATGATAATTATGTTTTGGCTTTTTCTTCTTTTTCCTTTTATAAAGGGAATTTTGGATCAACAAGAGCTTTTGGAAGGCCCACAAGGTTCAGAAAATGCTCGCTTTGGATCAGCAATTGCAGCACTTACAGACATTGACTTGGATGGCTTTAATGATGTTGTAATAGGTGCACCACTGGAAAATCAAAACTCTGGAGCAATTTATATTTACAATGGGTTTCAAAAGACTATACGTACCAAATATTCTCAGGTAAATAACTGCGCTGTACAATGTTGTACTCAGGTGTGCTGGAGGAAAACTGAAGGATTTTCTATCCTTTTATTGCCCATGGTTTCATCCTCTTAGCATTTGTTATTTTCACGGTTTATTTCAAGTTTTATCCCCCTCCTTACTTCAACTGTCAGCATATCCTGAGTGATACTGTTGTGGTATTTACAGCTGAAGTGTACAGAGGAAAACTGCTTGCAGGATGCTTTGTTTGAGCCTCTCATAATTTTGGTGCATGCATATGAAGTCAACTCATTTCCTTTATCTTTTTTGACACCTGCAATTCAAGTTTCTAAAGCTGTTGTGCAGCATTGAAGATTAGATAAGTACTTACACTGTAAATTTGAAATAAAGAAATTGAAAATATGTATTTGAGGAAAAGTAATTCAGAGAAATTTGCATATTAGGTATGCAATATTCAAATATATATATAATGTGTATATGTATATATTATATATTATACATTATATATTTTATATTTTATATATATTATAGTATATATAATGCAAAATATATAATAGTAATAATTTTAATGTCACTTTCCATGCAGATCTTCTAGTTGCAGAAATTGTTTGTTAGAAGTCCTGTTTAGCTTCCTATTCTTTGAGTTGCTCAATGTGAGATGGAAAAAGTTTCCAGTAAGTGCTGGCTGGCATAAAGCAGTCAGCTAGTTGATTTACTACCATGACAGAAAATTCTAGTCCATTGTCTCCTCCAACAGGGGAGGAAAAAGAGCTTAACAGCATTTGAGAAAACATTCACACAAGTTTTTTTGTTTAAACAATATGTTATGTATACAGAGAGAATCTGCAAAAATCCATTGTTTGGGCTGATATCTACAGGCTTACAGCACTGCTGTGGCAACTTAGTAACCAAACTTTCTTTCCCAGAAAATTTTAGGATCGGATTCTGCTTTTGGAAAACGGCTCAAATTCTTTGGAAGATCAGTAGATGGCCGTGGAGACTTAGATGACAATGACATTACTGATGTATCAGTTGGTGCAGATGGAAACGTGGTTCTGCTTTGGTCAGTAAACTCTTTTAGAAAAGCAGTACTTAATAAATCAGATGAAAGTTGAGCATTTAGTTAATTAAGCAGCAAAACAAATCATAAAGCTTTTTTATTCCATGTGTTCAGAGAGCTAGCACACTTTCTTCATCAGTAATACACAGCTACAGAGTACACTTCTGGGGCCCCAAGTACAAAGACATGGAGCTCTTGGAGCGGGTCCGGAAGAGAGCTACTAAGATGATCAGAGGGCTGGAGCACCTCTCCTATGAAAGAAAGGTTGAGGGAACTGGGATTGTTTAGCTTGGAGAAGAGAAGGTTCCAGGGAGATCTCATTGTGGCCTTCAAGTGTATAACAGAAGAGAGTGTATAACAGGAGGGGGAACGGCTGTTTATGAGGGTGGATAGTGATAGGACAAGGAGGAATGGTTTAAACTGAGACATGGGAGGCTTAGGTTAGTAGGAGAAAGTTTTTCACAAAGAGGGTGGTGAAGCACTGGAACAGGTTGCCCAAGGAGGTTGTGGATGCCAGGCTGGATGTGGCTCTGGGCAGCCTGGTCTGGTCATTGGCTGCACATAGCAGGGGGGTTGAAACTAGATGATCTTTGTGGTCCTTTTCAACCTAGCTTATTCTATGATTCTATGATTCTACTGAGTACTTAACAATCAAACTACCAAAAGCCAAGCCAGTCTGAGAGCGGAGTGAAGATGCAGAGGGGGAAGTTGGATAGTGAGGACTGTGAGAGGGGTTCAGAGAGGGTAGGGGGAAGAAACACTCCCATGTGGGCATATGGTCTGGAAGGAAATGGTAGCAGAGGGAGTGGGACGCGACAAGCAGCTTCAGTAACAGCACTCTTCAACAGCTACAAGGTAATTCCAGTACTGAGAGAGACAAAGCTTCTTCCTACAGAACCTGCAGAGCCATTGTAAGCTGATAGGCTTATATGAAGGAAGAGTGATTCTGCTGGGTATGGACTGAAAGCAGTGCCATTGAGTTGGCATCTACTTCTGACCGGAAACCCATATTTTCTAGCACGTAGCCTTTACTGACACAATCTGAGTACTTGTACAAAATAAAGAAGAAGGGCTTCAAGAACCCAAACCTTGTGCCTCCACAAATACTGTGTATTTTCCACTGCTTCTGTGGGGAGGAAAGTTAAACTGTAGCTTGCTGTCCAATCTGTCACCCTTCCTCTTGCCTGAGGGCCCCCATTGTAACAAGAAAAACATCGCTGAATTGCTATTTATTTCATAATAAAGCAAGAGTTTACAAAATGAGTGGTCAGTTTGAATCCTTGACCTACAAGAGAACTCCTGCTGGTGCTGATGGAGATTGTGTTAAAGAAAATTATGCTCCTCGGAGTACAGGCATTTATTTCTATGTGATTAATGAAGATGCTCATTTTTCTTTCACTCTGGAATTTGGCCTGATTAATGCATTTCATTTTTGATTGAAGTGTTTGTTTTTACAAGGGTTACTTTGAAAATGTTCTAATTACATGGAAGATGTTTTCTGAAAAAACAAAGGCATAATTAAAAAGAAGAATTACCCTTTTTTACCTTCCCAGTGGAACTCAATGACTTCCCCAAAGAAGCAGAAGAAGGTTTCATGTTAGGAAAACAGGGCAAGGGCTTCATTCTCTGTTATCGTAAGGGACTGATTAGGTCATTAGGACAAAGACATTGATTAGCCATTAATTTGATATGATACATTATTTGTTTAATTATCTCAAAGCTTTTTTTGTTTAATTTCTCAAAGCTGCTGTATTAATAGACTCGGTTATATGCAAATAAAAGTAATTTTGCCAGTGCCATAAATACTGTTTCCATTGAGAACCCAGAAGATCTATGTTACATTTACAAACAGTAGCAGAGAATGGTGTCTAAGTTACCCAGTGCTGTTGAAAATCACATGTAACCCTTTAAAAATGTTTTACAGGTCGCAGAGCATTGCAAATGTGTCCATAATTGCCTCGTTTATACCTGAGAAAATCAGTCTCCTGAACAAGAACACTGAAATAACTGTCAAAATATGTTTTCAGGCTACATTTAGACCTGCTAAGAGAGATAATCAAGTGGGTAAGAGTATTTCAATGGCTTGTTTTATATTAATTTCTTCAGAAATCCATTATTCAAATGTATAGTGGAAATTTTAAAGAAATAATGCATTAGATGTCAAGAAAGGTGAAATCACTATCAAATTTAAGTGCTTAAGGAAGTGTTTTTAAAATCTGTGGTCATCACTGGCTCCATAATCTTGTAAAAGTGAGGAAATAACAATATAAAGAAAATCAGTATGACAAAACCCAGAAAATGTTGATACTGAGAAGCTTTTCATTTTACTTTATGTTTTTAGCCTTTGCTCACCAGTTCTGTTTTTTTTCCTTCAGCTGATGTCACTCACATATGGCAACACACTTCAGTAAGGGTGAATGGGTATCTCTGGAAGATGCTTGTTTGGGTACAGTCTTTGTGAGCTGCTGTTTCAATGGCAGACTTCAGACTCTTCTTTCTTCAGCACAAAAATAATTTCCATAAGATCAGTACAGAAGTCCATGGAGAGAACCTTTTCTGTTCAGAGAACAGGAGAGCTCAGAATATTTCTGAGACCAGCACTCATCTCTCATGAAGCCATTTAGTCCAACACCAGTTGGACTGCTTCAGTCCTACACCCAGTGCCTTTTGGAACTTGTGATTGTTAGCTATAAAATTAAAGTGAACTTTCTAGGTGTATTAGTCATCCTAGGAATAGAAGAAGACAGAAATTATGATGTGATCGAAGAAAAGATGCAGATTTTTTATAGTCGTCTCAGAATTCGGGATATGATTGCAGTGCCTTTTTATCTGCTATAATCCTGGCCCTGCTAACTGGCTTTCTGCCTGAGATGCAGGCTCAGCCATCTGAAGTGGAGACTGAATTGATTGCCATTTAATGTGCTCTCTATGGATGAGAACTTACTTCAGGATTTAAAACTGTTTGACTGCTTTGGAAAACACAAGAGAAAATTTTATCATGTTGAGAATGTTCTGTGATTACTATGAAAAAAGTAAAATATTTATTGTGGTTTAGAAAGTCTGGTCATTCTGCAGTGTTGAGCATAGCAATGAGATCACAGGCAGTATGGCTCAGCAAAAAAAAAAAAAAAAAGTACTGTTATTTTTCTTGTAGCTATAAAGTGCAATGCAACATTGGATGCAGATCTCCAGGCCTCCCGAGTGTCTTCTAGAGGACTTTTCAAAGAAAATAATGAAAGGTACATGCAGAGGGATGTTGTGGTGACTCATTCCGTGAATTGTGTTCAGGACATCTTCAATGTACAGGTAAGTGCAATTGTAAGGGGCCTTGTGACAAAAATGATCAGAAGAAGATGTTGATGAATTTTATGTCTGTAAGATGATTTCCATCACAGAACTGTAGGGGCTGGAAAGGCCTCTCAAGATCATCTATCCAATCTCCCTACCAAAGCAGTTTCCCTATAGTAGGTTGCATTCATGTAGGAAAGTTTTCAGGTGGGTTTCAGATACCTCCAGAGAAAGAGACTCCACAACCTCATTGGGCAGCTTGTCCCAGTGTTCTGTCGCCCTCACAGTGAAGAATTTTTTCCTCATGTTTACATTGAATTTCCTACGTTCCAGCTTGTGTACATGGCCTCGTGTAGGATTTAAGTTTCTTAAATTCTGCAATGTCGAAAAACACAGAGTGAGATGCCAGTTCCAAAGAAAACAATAACAACTGTCTTATTTATCACAGCTTTTTAAGGCAGAAGAGGCCATTCTTAACTATGTATTTTAGTTTAGGAAAAAAACAGTCCATAGTTTCAGTAAATGTCAGTTTCCCTTTAGTTTCAATCAATTTTAGATGCATGACCAGTAGCAATACATACAAATGTCTTATTTCAAATGAACACTTGATGTGGACTTCTCTACCTCATGCATGCTAACCCTAAGAACACACAAGTTGTATTTGGGATAAAGTGTCCATCTTTCTCTAGAATCAAGGCCAAACACAGCCCTAACACCTGCAGTAAGCCCTCTGTGTTGTGACAGGTCAGGTATTAGAAAGTCTGAGAATTTTGAGTCTGCTTTGCTTTGCAATACTTAAAACCAGCAGGCTTAGAGCTGAATAGTAAATAGGAATGTTTTCACATCCCTCCTTCTGATTCTTCCTTCTTTTATTTATTGTATACCCAAATTCAGTGAGGGAAAATATTTTTGACTTGTTGATCACATTTATTGTCATCTTGGAGCCATGAGTTAGGAGAGTATCCACCCAGAACAAAGAAACTAAAGAGATACAAGGCATATAGTGTTTTATTGCTGCCTACGCAGACTGGAATAGGAATTTGATTCCTGCAGCAGTTTGAGAAGGAAAGTCACCTGCTGTTGGCATTTAATGGTTAGCTTCTGCAGATGCAAAGTCTATACATGTAAGTGATGAACAGAGTCTTTTGGAATACTTGCAAAAGGAGTTTTATCACAGAAATGGAAATAAAAGCTGTTTAGCAAGAGGATACCACATCAGGCAATCTCACAGAAGTATTTTGGTAAATAAATGGAGTTTTACATTGTTACTTCATGTTTAGAGAAAGTATTGTTTTACTATGCATTATAAATTTACAACAGAATTACCATTTTTATGTTATTTGCTGTGCTGAGAGCTACCATCTGTGTTTTACAGGAACCTTCTGATGCAGTCAGTTCCCTTAATGTGCGCATTGACATTGGCCTAGCAAATCCTGGCACCAGCCCTGTACTTGATACATCTTCTCCTGCATCTGTGGCCTACAGTGTAAGTACACAATCTCACTGTTGGACAATGCATTGCTATACACTTGTGCCTAACATGACCTACAAAATCACTAAGGAACTGCACACAGGTAAAAACTCGTACTCTAGTTAAGTTACTGGACTGAAAGCAGGCACCTGCACATATTCTTCCTGTTGCTTTATACCTTGATAACATAATCTTTGCTCATCTACAAGCACACAACAGACACCATGGCATAACAAGCATCTTGGTAGAGCCAAGTCACTGTACATGTGAATTTCTATTGCATTGTACTGTGAAGTCTTAGTTTAGCCTACAATAAAGGAGTAACTGGGAAATGTAGATTCCTTCAGATTATATGATTGGTGTAGGCTAGCAACACTCTGCCTGCATTGTTCTTATGGATCAGCTGATGTGTAGTAACATGCTTCTCAGGATAGCTTTTCCATCTGTCAGAATTCTTAACGTGCTTTGAAGTGATGTTCTTTCCCTATAAAGTGTTTAAGACTACTGTCCCTAGATAATTTTAAAGTAAAACACTGTCATTCAGGATTTATTTATTTGTTTATTTGTTTTTGGCAGATTCCTTTTATTAAAGATTGTGGTGAAGATGAGCTTTGTATCTGTGATCTTGTTCTGAATGTACAGCAGAAGGGAGATGATAGGTAAGACCTCAACAAATGGGATTGGTGGAGACATTCTCCTTGTGGATTTCATGGATTGGCTTACCTTTAGGCTCTGAATGAATTTCTAAATAAGAATACCATTTCAGTGCAAAATCTATTTAGAAATAGCAGAGGAAAAAAAAAAGAAAATAATAGCATTTCTGTCTAAATAACTAGCCATGGAAAAAGGGGTGCCATATGAACAGAGATACAGAAGCAGGATTCTTATAACTGTAGACAAAACTAATTTTTTGTACCATATGAATGAGTAAACACTGAAAACTCAGAAGACTGTGTCAGAAGAAGTGCTCTGGGAAAGCAGCTGCAGCAGCAGTCTCAGACCCTCCTGCGAGGAACAGAGAGGTTCCTGCATCAGGCTGTGCTGCTGGGAGGAGGAGATAGCGTATAAGCATGTACTCTAAATCCATATGCAGACACACGTACATTTACAGTATGCAGACAAAACTGCGTCCTCCTGAAGCTGCTGTCTGACTCAGCTGCCCATTCTCTGCTCACCTTTCCCAGAATGGTGGAAACTGTGAAAGTTCAGCAAAGTGACTGACTGTACACGATCAGTTCTGCACTTAACAATGACATTAATTCCAGTTGGTTCTGAAAAACATCATCACAGAGTTTCTCAAGTCACAGGGTTTAGAAAGCAGAAGATTTATATGAATAGAAAATAGGAAATGTCTTGCTGTGCTTGTTATTCTTTCTTGACTAGAGGCAACACAGTACGATACAGTTTCATGATCCACAGCTGTTCTATTACCTCTGTTTACAACATTAAACTTCATTTTCCAACAGCAAACAGCAGTTCATTGTCAGCAGCAAAAACAAAAGACTAACATTCAACATGAAATTGAAAAATAAAAAAGAAAATGCATACAACACCAGAATCCAGGCCACGTTTTCAGACAACTTGTTTTTTGCTTCTTCTTCCTTACCGGTACGTGGTACCCATCTTCACTGTTTCTGTTACTGCTGCCGATTTTCCAGCTACTCCAAAAAGTGTATTTTTCTGTCTATTAGTGTCTGTCCCAAGAAAGGAGAATGTGTGTGCAAATCTTTCTCTCAGTTTATTTTCTTGGCTACCAGAATTATTCCCTTCAGCATATCAGTTTTATATAGGTCAAGGAGAAACACTGCCAACTCAGCATAAAAGTTGGCAACCTGTTGAGTTTGACCTCACGTCAGTATTTCAAGTCATCTTTTCCTCACTTTAGGCTTTGGCAGTCACATCTCGTGCTTGACTCCCAAAAACATGCCTGAGTACAGTTGCTGGAAATTCATATTTGATAAAGCATGCGGCACAGATGCAACTTTAAAGTCAAGACTTTGGATCTAGAAGAGGTTTCACTGCCAGCACCACATATTCCAGCTATAGACAGTTAATCAGACTGAAATGATTGCTATACCAGAAGTTCTTCTAACAGATTTGGTCTTAGAAGGGAAAATAAAGGAATTTACAGACTATTTCAGGGAATACAGTAGATCTTTAAAGTGAACTGTTTCTCCAAAACAATTCATGTAGGATGAAATCCAGACTTCAGTGCTTGGCCTATGCGTTAGACTGCTACTGGGGAAATGCGTGATAATACGAGGGGTGAAATCCAGAGCAGTAATGAGGGGATAGGAGCATTCATCACTGTCCAAGAGCCACATTTTCTGGAACAATGAATTGGCAGAGGGACTCCATACTGTGCTGAGTGTGCCCCTCTACCTCCCCATCCTGTTGCACAGCAAAATTACTCCATTCATACCAAAGGACCACACTGGAGCTAGGCTTTTCTTCCACTTTAAAAGCTCATTTGTTTAGAAGTATTCCAGCCTGCAAGTGAAGTTTTTTCCCCCAAAAAACATGCCTTTTTCAAAGCTGAAATATTATAAGCTATTTGTTCAAAGCTTATATTCTTTTCAGAATATAAATCATGAATGGTAAGTATGTGGTAGGGATGTGTTTTACAAAAAACAGTACATTTTATTATCTTCAGCATGATGATAACTGGCCATAGTCTATGAGTTTGTCTTTCCTTTGATGTGAGATGCTGACATGCTAAATAATATAATAATAATAATAATATAATACATAAATAAATAAATAATAATAAGAGTAATAAATAAACTCTTAAGTACTGTAGACTTTCCTACAAAAAATATGATACGATTTCTCTTCCACGCACTAATTTCTATGGTGAGAGTACTTAACTGTCTCTCAGGCCATGCAAATATAACTGTAGAAGTTCTGCAGCAATATTATAAAAAGCACAGTAAGTGTTAATGAAGTAGGTGGCCTATACACTATGGTCATTATTCCTTCTTTCAAGTCCAGCATGAAGTTTCTGTAAGATCATTAGAGTCCAGAGAAATTACATAGCATCAAACCTTATTCAGCCATTCTCCTGCCTCACTCCCAGCCCTACCTATAATTCCCATCCATCTCATCTCTAGGAATTATTGCTATAACACCTCTGGTACTGCTTCTTACTGTAACACAGCTCATGTGGAAGAGGCAGGCTGGGAATTTCCTGTCTTTTATTAGAAACTGCTATTAAGATGACTTTTCTGTTTCCCCTGCAGAGCGATGGGACTGAAGTCTCATGTCAGACAGGAACATCTCAAACTACAGTCATCTGCCAGATAAGCTATCCTGTTTTCCGAACAGGACAACAGGTACAGCTAGCACAATTGAATAACCTCAACTGACGTACCAAAGCATTTTTGTTGTTTTTGTTTTCCCCTAAAACGGCATACACTGTTGTTGAAGATTTTAGGGCTGGCAATAGGTAACTTCCCCTTGGATTTCAGAGGCACTAAAAGAAGCAACTCGGAGCCTAAACTGTGATGACCAGAGTACTAGATTAAAGGAAAAAAATGCTCTAAAGCACACTTCTCTGTGCCCCTACAATCCAAATGCCTCTGTAGCTTTGTAACCCATGTAGAGTGAGGCTGGGGAGAAGACAAGAGATGGGCAGCCAGGTGCAATGTGCAGCCTGCTGGGGGCTCTGTGCAGTGCATCAAACCCTCACTGCTGAGCAAACCTGGGCAGCTGCTCCAGCTCAGCTCTGCAAGGAAGTGGTGCTGAGGAGAGGGAGAGGAGAGCCTGAGGATAGATCATGTATCCTTTTTCTCATTTATGCCATAAATTTCAGGATATCCCTGGTTTTATGGAACTTAATCTCTTATTCCTGAGGCAGAACAGAAGTAGGCTTCCAGCCTTTAGCACAGTCACTTGGAGGAATAAG